GCATGCCTAGTTTGGGGGTGGTCTGTTAGCGACTTGCTACCACAGACTATCAGGCTGCAAGATACTAAGAGGTATTGAAAACTATGCGCAAACCCCAAATAATTATAACTATGCATTCTCTAGTATTACGAAATGCCTTGTAATAGTCGTTAGTTTGCGTTTTAGTTAGATTATTTTTTGACTGGCTACATTAAAAATTACTATGTACGTAGTAAAAGTTGTATTAAATTAATTTCTATTTTTGGATTATATACAGTAATCTCGATTACGTATTATTAATAAAAAAAATTTTATTGGCGAATGCTTAGTATATATATAAACTGATGATGATTGGCTATTATATTTATATATGTAACCTAAGATTTTACACTACCCTCCCACCTCCAAAAATATTACGTAATATATGTCATTGCCCTTATTATTCTAGGGAATATTATTATAGTGCTATAGCACTATGGCGCTACTCTATATATAAATACTAGTGTTGTAAGCCGCATAACTTTAGTCGGCTAGCTAAGCTAGCCGACTAAAACATCGGCTAAATGGCTAGCTAACAGTATACTTTTCGGAATACTTCGGAAATTTTTCATGTTTATTCTATATTTATTCATTTTCCTTCTCGGAATTTATCGTAATCCTACTATTCATGAATCATGTGGCCTTTAGCCGCATTAGCCAGCTGACCATATTATTTCGGCTAGCTTAGTCGGCTAAGCCGGCTTAGCTGTGGCTGCCCTAGTTGGCTTACAACACTAATAAATACAAAATTGGTATAACATGTAAATCAAAACATCTTTTTTGTATGCAAAAAATAAAACTTTAATTAGTGTTAGATCAAAGCTAAGGCTAAAGTTTGGCAAGGCATAGCTTATACTAAAATTTTGCAAGGAATTTTTTTTATTAAAATACAAAAGATAGTTTTTTAATCAAAATTTTAAGATGTAGCTATTTTTTTAAAAATTTCTTATTTTTGTTACACAAAGGCAGGATCTACATGTTACACCTGATCTTAAATTTTAATTGGTTATAATACCCTAGCGCCATAGTGCTATAGCACTATAAATTAAATCCCATTATTCTATATACCGGTAATTATAAATAATGTTAATATTATTTCTAAGATTATATTAAAAAATTTAGTTTTTATATTTTTACTTATACGTATTTATTTTATATAAACATAATTTATATAATTTATATATATTAACTTATTTATTTTAATTATAACTAATTACTACTACTAATTATTAAAATTATTTAAACGCTAACACTAATCTAGATGCTTATTCGCACTCACCCTAATCCAACTTTAACTTAAATAAACTTAATGATTTTTTGTTATCCGTATTGTTACTATTGCAATTTTTTTTTGTATAATTATAACCTATTGTAATTCCGCAAAATAACACTCAGGGGTGTAATTTTGAATTTCGGCCTAAATTAAGCTTAATTCGGCCCTAGATTCGAAATACCACACATGTGTGTTATTTTGTAACTATATATACGGTAAATTAATTATTATTTTAGCTAATAATTTCCTGGGGCGATGCCCGGGTTTGATTATAGCAAATCTTCAAAATAAAGCTTAAGAGGATACTGTTGCAAAGCAGCAGGTTTATAACCCATTATATTTATAATGCTTTGTAGTAGAATTCTGACCCGGGTTATTACTTTACAACTTCAAGTTATATTTATTTAAGCCAAAAAATTTGTTTAATTGAATTTTTTTTTTAAAGAAAAAAAAATAAATATAACCTCTCTTGACTCTCGATTACATTATTTACTCAGGAATATTTACTAGAGACTAGAGAAGAGAACCGCAGCAAGGCTGCGGGTTTATGACCTAGTTATATAATAAAATTTTAAAAAATTTTAACCGATTAAAATTCAAGAAATTTGGCCAACCAAAATTAAGCAACTTTAAAAACATCAAAACTCAACGTTTTAAAATAAATTAAAGGTTTAAATTTTAAATTTTAAAAATGTGTCTTTAAGTGTCGCACACTGTAGCTTTAACTCTAACTCTAATCCCAATACCAACTCTATTTTTAATATTTTAATTTAAAATTTGAATAAAAATTTACAATAATATTTAAATTGAAAATTTTAAATAAAAAATTTATTAGTTTTTTTTAAAGTTAGAGTTAGTATAAAAAATATTAAAAAAGTTATTCTAGTTTTTTAATATTTAAAAGAAGAAAATAGAAACCTCAACAACTAGTAAATCAAAATTTAGATAATCACAACATAATGGATTAGAGATTTTATTATATTTTATTTAACTCTTATATAAATATGATTTTATTATATTAGATAAAAAATTGTATATTTTATTTGCAAAAATCAAACATTTCACTTTGCAAAAAATTGTATATAATAAATTATATAGTTTATTGTTTAAGGTTACAACAATTAAAGTTACGTCGCTGATTTAAAGTTATGTGCGTACTTACGTAACTTAATAAAAATTCATTGGAACGTTTCCACCGCATCTAGGGATGTGAAAAGTCCTGTTAGGTTCGAGTCTTTATTAAAGTTCGGTCTCAAGTCAGACTTGGGACTTCGACTTGCATTTGCGTATGTATCGAATATATTTGGATACAATGTATTTTGGCATGCATACACATTTATTCTAAATATACTAGATGCACATGCAGCGCAAGTCGAAGTCCCAAGTATGACTTTGGACCGAACTTTAATAAAAGCTCGATTTTAGAGTCGAGTCAGGACCGGACTGGACTTTTAACATCCTTAACTGCATCACTAGTCTAAATAAGTCCTTAGACAGTTTTGGGGCCCGGTCCGAAAAAACTATTTAACATCCTAAACTTAACATCCTTTTATTCTTGCGTGGGAAAACTCTCAGTTGTATAATCCAAGAGATTTTTTTTCCATTATTTATTTTTTTATTTATTTTTCTTTTAGCAATTCAACAAAAAAAGTTTCAAGAACCAAAGACAATAATAACATGTCTTCACAATTTGAAAATTCAATTGAAAATATTTTTTCAGAAATAGAGAATCTGATTAGACAAGATGAAATTCAAAACCAATCCAACATTGAGGAAAAGTTTAAAAAAGCAAAGTCATTAATTGACGAATTAGAAGAAGATGATGAGAAACAGTATGGATTTTATAGACATAAGTATCATGTAAAATATGCTAGTTATTTAAGAATTGTAGGTGAAACGGAGCGTGCTAATAAGCAAGAAAACCGAGCGAAAAATTTTGAACAGTTTGTAGGAAATTCCGAAAATGAATCAGAAACAGAACCAACGTTGCTTACGGATTCTAGTATAGTATTCAATCCTAAGGAAGAATGCATGCAGGAAGCTGAGGAACAACTAGAAAAGCTTGAAAATAGCTTAAAAAAAAAGGATTTCGAAGCAATTCAAGAAGAATTTAAACGGCTTTACGAGATACCCAAAACCTTAGAAAACTATAAAAAAGTCATTGATTGTGAGACTTCATTGCATAAAATTGTAGATATGATTACTGACATGGTACAAATTGCTCAGACTTCAAATGGAACCTCATTCATCATGCCAAATCTATTAACTGTCGCTTATGTCAGTGTTGGTGGTATTGGTACTGGTGCTGGTATTGGCGTTAGAACTGGTATTGGCGGTGCTGGTAATATCACTAATAACGCAATTGTATCTTTAGATGAACAAATAGATTATTCAAAAGCCAATGTAGAAGAATTGATTACTTCTTTGAGTCATTTAAAAATATTAGGCAGTGAGATTGCATATCACAAAAGAATATTCTTTATGCGATATACTTTAAATTCTTCTGATAAAATAAAAGTCTTGTTTGACGGTGTTAGTTTGGTGAAAAGAGAAATCAATAAACGTTACAGAGAACTTGCTATGTATTTTCATTCTGATAGAACGAGTCATCCTAATACTCCAATTTGGCTACGAAATGAACATAAAACTCTAGGTGATGAATTATTTGAATTTATTGCAGAGTCTAAACAATGCTTGTTGGTTGATATGGAAAAGGTTTTTCATGAAGAAAAAGCACATAAATTTTGGGAAATTGCGGTCGATTATCGTAATGCAGCTAAAGAACAATGGGATAAATTAAAGGTATTACGCCAGGAAGAAATCAAGGAGTGTTCTTCTAAAGATTTAGAACGTCTTAGTATAACTAATGGGAAATTAGCATACGAAGAATATCGAGCATCTTGTGAACTTGTAGATAAAACTGATCTGAAAAAGCGAATAAAATTACGAAAAAATATGGCATTATGCTTATATCTTGCCAATCAATTATTAGAAGCCCAATTATATGCTTTATCAGCAATTCATTTATTATTAAAAGATCCAATGGTTAATCGGCAGGATTATATGGAGGCAAAACAAATACTCGATAAGGTTAGAGATAATAATTATATTAAAAAAGCAAATGACAACGTAATCGACTTAGTAAGATCAAACCAGAGAATTTCTGCTTTCGATATAGCGTCTATTCAGCATACAATCAAGGATGATATAGAAAAAATAATTACTGAATTAATGCTCAAGCCAGACTATCGTTTGGTTCGATGTCAAGTATCTGGAGATACTCTTTCTACTATATATTTTCTGATATATTTATTAATCAATCCATTTTATTTACTGGTGCGAAATAATGCTCATGAAAAATACAATAAAATTATAACCGATGCACTAAATGCTCATTGTAATGAAAACTATCAGAAATTTCTCGAGATACTTTCAACGGAATATAAAGCAGGTGTCAGTATTTTAAAATTTAAGGAACGCGAAGATGCTATTGTTCCTAAAGATATAATAGATAAGCTTAGAAATCTTGGTGTTAGGCCAGATGCCATTGCTTATCTATTAATTTTGCTTGGTGAGGTCTTAACTAGTGGGAGAATAAAAATTGAAGGAAAAAATGTAAATAATTTAAAGGCTTATGCAAATGATCTTTTTTATGGGGCACTGAACGAAAAACTTGTAGCAGATGCCAAAAAGTTAGATGATAAAATCCATAAATTGCGAAAAGGCAATTCTAGTAAAGATTCTATTTCTAAAGAAGACGATCATGATGCTCAAGAAATGCCCTTTGTATCAAGGTTGGAAGAAATGCGTAACATTGCAAGGATCAATATTTCAATTCTTAATATCTTAAGTGATCCGAAACAAGCTATCGAAATTGTTAAAGAAATCCGGGAATCAATAAATCATAATTATCAGTTTGTTAGTACTGTTAGTACCCGCTTAGAAACCTTAGAAGATTATTTATGGATCATTAGCGGTGATGAAATATCTGAATTTTTCGAGGGGTCGACAGAACTATTTCAATTCAAAGGCGGAGAAAATAAATTTATTTGTTATTTGAATGAACAATTGCGACAGACATCATCTACACAAGAAAAAATCAGAATAAATAATGAATTAATGAACAATTAGCCGAAGAAAATGACAAAATTAACAAACTAGATAGCTTACGTAATTGGCAAAATGCTCAAAAATGTTATGAAAAAGCACGTAAAATGGATCCTAAAAATTTGGCATTTGCTCTTGGATATACTAAATGTTTATTAAAATTGTCTAAATTTACCCAGATTATTGAACTTTCTAATGTGATTCCTTTCTTAGCATCGTCATCAGAATGTTGGCGTTTTCTTAGTATTGCTTATTATAAGCGAGCTGACTACAAAATGGCTAATGGATGCTGTATCGAGGCGTTGAGACTAGATTCAGAAAATAAATTAGCTGACAAGCAAAGAAAATATCTCAAAAAACTAGGAAAAGGAAATCTAAATGACCGTCTTACTATTCGTTATGAAAAAAAGGTCATAGATTACGAACCGGATTACTTCAAAAATTCTAAAAGTAATGAGAATCTTGTTTACAATATCCTTTCGATTGATGGCGGAGGTATTCGTGACATACTACCTGCATTATGGCTCAGCGAAATAGAATATCGTACACACAGGCCTATTTCTCATTTGTTCAATATGATAGCTGGAACATCTACTGGTGGTATCATTGCTGCTGGACTATCGGCCCCGGTATTGCACGATAAAAGTTATTCAAATATACAACCAGTATTTTCTGCTTCAGAATTATTAGATTTTTACCGAAATCATGCGATGAAATTGTTTACTGTTGACGAAAATCAGAATTACTTCACTTCTTTCCTTTCATCAACCAAGTATAAATATACAAACAGTGGTCGTTCTGCCCTGTTTAAAGAACGTTTTAACAAAACAAAATTGCACCAATCACTCACCGAATTGGTCATCCCTGCAACGAATGAAGTAACACCATATTTATTTACACGTTACGATGCTTGTAATGATGAATTAAAAAATGATAGTTTTGTTGATACTTTAATGGCCACGACAGCTACACCCACTTTTTTCCCACCCTACGAGATAAAGAATAAAGGTGTTTTCCTTGACGGAGGTGTACATATTAATAATCCAGCAATGACAGCTTACCATGAAGCTATTCGATATAACGTAGATATCAAAAAAGTTTTTATGCTTTCTTTAGGTACTGGGAGTTATATACCAAACCCTTCGAAGCCCGATCTTTATAGGGAAAAGCTTTTTTGGTCACAAAATAGTTATAAAATATCCGAGGATGAAAATGAAATTGATCGTCAAATGTATCATTTGTTGGGAAATTGTTATCAGCGATGGCAGGTCTGGCTTGAAGAACCGATAGGATTAGACTATTGTAAAATGATTCCACATCTCTTAGAGATAGGTAATCAGTATTTGGAGGAGTTGGATTACTCTGATGAAAATCCCATTAATAAGTTAGTAGAATCTTTTGAAAATAAGAATTTTTTACTGTACTAGCGCTAATATTTATCTATGATTACGGAAATGAAGTATTATGATTTGACGAATAATTTTTATATCAATAGATTTCTCTCAATGAGAGTCTGATCGCACAAATCCGACCACTTTGTCAAAATATCACTGTCAGCATTATATACCTTGAATTTTTTAAAATAAATATAACCTCATATTTAAAAAAACAAAACAATTTGGCCTGTCAATTAAACCAAAAATATAACATTTTTTAATACTATGAAATTAGTGATCTTGCTTATGTTGATTTTAACAGGCCATACTTAATGTCACATATTTTCATCGAGGCGAGACTCAAATATCAATGATATCTTGAATATCGTCTAAAGGATTACAAATAAAAAAACTCATGCGATTATTCTTTTTTATTGAAATAATGAAAAAAAAATTTTAAAAGCTCAGTGGGAGTTCATAACACCGTATTACAGTTTATGCTTTATTACGCTAGCTAAAAAGAAAATAACCTTAATACTAATTAGACTATTCTATCACTTCTTGATGAACTATATTCATTATTTGAATACTAATAAAGTATTCAAGAAGTATGGTTCAATATATATACAAAGAGAACAACTCTTGTAATGAATTATCATAAAAAATTGTTCAACTAATTTGAAAAAGAACCGACCATTCAAGTCAAAAATTAGCCTCTGCCAATTTTCTCATTATTGAGCGGGACCGTCTGAGGTTGACCAACAGCCCAAAAGAGATACTTCATTTGTTCCACATACTTTTCAACTTGATTAAGACGATTAAGCTTCTCATATGGTAAATTCACAAGTTTGAAAGCATTGTCAATGGGAGGGTCGTCACCGTATCCATCATAGACCACATCAAACGGAAGGCCAGATGTAAGGATAGGATCGATCTTGTTAATTAGGTTTGGTGGTTTGGTCATTTTAGAAACGCTTTCTCGTCAAGTTAAATGAATAATTAACGTTAAACGTGAGAATGAAGGCTATATATATATATATATATATGTATTACAAAATGCACAATCCGTGTGCTAGGCACCTTATGTCAATCAAAGTGTGACTATTGACCAATAAAATCAATCAAAAAAATTCAATACGCGAGTAGTACTAACGAAACTTACCCTGAATAGTAATTCAGAGACGCGTTTTAATCCTTAGCTCCTATGATTAAAAATACTACAATATAATATTAATTCATATAAAGGATATAATTAATAAGTTTATAATTAAGATAACAGTATATAAAGCTTTTCAATATTTAGAATTTACTTGTAGTCTTTTTAAAGTTGATCGTCTTTTGGCTAGAACTTATATATCAGGTAAAGCTATTTTAATTATAACAAATAGTTGGAGTTATTAATAACTTACGGTGATTTTTTATTAGTGAAACGTTACGTTCTCAAAAAGTACATTAGCATTAACCAATAATACGAAATACTTTCTTTATAAATTCCTAAAAGGAAATAACCAATTATAGAGCGCAGATTATAATCCTCCGGCATGGAATCCAAACAATGTAAACCGAAAAAGAAAATACGAAAAGAAATGAAAGTTACGATAGTGTGTCATAATTTGTTTCTATAACCTCTAATCCTAATGTCCTAATCCTAAATTATATCTTTGCATATTTTATTTATTTTATACTAAGGTTCCCAGATATCCAACGTTATGTACTGTATTTGTTGACAAAACTACCGTATAATAAAAAATCGTCATAAATCCCAAATCCCAGATTACAAATAATTTGGGTTTTTTGCTTTGAAATGATCGTGTAGGATATAATAATTACTATATCCCATAAGGTCATTTTCAAGGCAAACCCCATTTAACGTTGAAGATATTAAGATTTTTACAGGGCAGTGACGCAGTCTACAAGATACATTAATAATAATAATAATAATAATAATATTAATAATAATAATAATATTATTATTATTATTATTATTTCTAAGAAACTGAATAGCTTTATTTGCTCTTATTAACAAGGTGTTGTTCTGGATGAGATAAATGTCTAATTTTTCAGAAATAACATTCATTCAAAAAGATGGAATGATCACGTAGCAAAAAGTTATCGGCCAGTTCTATTACCAACAACTAGTTTAATAGAGATTAAACAGTTTAATTCTTTTAGTAGAGACGATAGCTCTATTACGTAAAATTTAGGAATAAAAATCAATTAGAACAATTTATTCGTTTTGTAAGTGCGAACAGTGTACAAACTCAATAATTTAATTTTTAAAACTAGCTTAGTCCGTAAACACTATTATAAAATTCATACGTAATTACAAACAGAATTATCATAATTTGAAATTATTCGATAATATGGAGAGTTTGATATATATATTAGTCATAATAGATAGTGACTTATTTTTATTTGCAACGTGTATAGTATATGTACAATTCAGAAATTTAAATGACAATACGATTCAACTCATTAAGTATAAACACTAGCTTCGTGAAGAGCGCGTAAACCACTAACTGCTAATAAATTTGACGCGTAAATATGTTTCGCCGATCGGGATTTTATTTAGCATAGCACGGATTTTTACGTAGAATCTTCGGGCATTACGGAAAATTTTAAGTGAACTCCGTCTGATCAACATTAAAAATTCCTCAAATATGTACAATGACCAAAAGTTATGACGTTCTGCGTCACCTAAGTTACTTTGATTCCGGAGTCGATTATATGACACTTTATGAAACAATACAATGTGAATAAATTCACTGCGTCTTATTATGTTTGAAGTTTTTTTTTTAAAAAAAGGCTGTATTTGTGGCGCAGTACAAATATAATGAACTACATGGTCTGTACGTATAGTTAGTTTGTTTCTTATCAGTTATAACAATAAGTACCGGTACGTCAATTACTGAAGTCTACCCATGTGAGAAGTTTCCAAAAACGGCAATATAAACTATTCACGCAGCAATACAAAAAAAACAATATAAATGCGATTATTTTCTGTTAAAAAAATTTTTTCAGTCCTTTAACTATCTTTTATTTTAAAGAACTCGGAAAGCTTTATAACTACCGCGTCTTGTCATGACTTCTTACGGTTCTGCTACTTGTATTAATGAAGTTTCTTTACAACCTTTAGATAATCTGTCAATGGTTGCTTTACCTGACCCTAATTTATTCTTTGCTCTATTTTTACCCAACTATGGTATTCCATGTACTGATTTATCCTCACCGACTTTTCAAAGTCATGATCTAATATTACAACTTGAAACGGCTGAAAGTTCTTTACCATATTCACCAACTTGGTTACCAGAGCCTTTTCCTCTCGTAGAATCTCATCAAGTTTATTTTTCTCAACATCATATTTGTAACATGATTTGGGTTGGATCAATTCCTTTATCCTTGATGAAAAACGACTGGTCATTACCGCTTCCTCCTTTTGAATATCCACCATGTAACGGTCATCCTTCTGTCTTTGTGGAATTTATCGATCTTCTTTGCCTTGAGAATGTTCATAGTTATATCGCTATGCACAGAACTGTTCCTTTCTTGGGTGCAACTCCTGAAGAATTACGTGTAGCAATCATTTTTTATTTGACAGCTTTACTTCCTCAGGAGGTTTTCCAATTTTATAAATGGCCTGCTCATGGATTTCAACACCTAACCAAGATTTATGCTGAATTACCTTTCGAGTTTTTAAAATCTGCATTAGAAGCACAAACATTTCCTTTTGCTGCTCCAATTGATCGTTTTCAATTTGCCAAGAAAGTATTAAAACTTAGGAAATCAAATGCTAAATTATATGGTTGTGGAAATATGAACTCTTCAGTTCGTGATGTTTTATGTGAGACTGTCTATTTAGCATTTGGTGATGATTTAAGTAGATCTGGGATCATAGTCGCCACTAGTTCTCCTCTAAGGAAAGTTTCCAACGAACATTCTCCGTCAAAGATGGTTTAAAGGGTATTTATTATTATTAATCATTATTATTAATTATTAATTATTATTTCGCGATGAGTCGTGTAATTTATTATGAAAAGAATATAATTTTCAAAAATAAAAAAAAAAATCAAATTTTAGTATCTAATAAAACTTCTTTTATTTTTCAACTAGTCACGTATATTTTATCTGATTTAGATTCGTATAACGGATAGTGAAATCTTTCGGATTTTGTTACTTTTGTCTAGGGGGGACACTATCATTGATGAATCTTTCTTCTTATAGTTTTATATTTGTTTTACTTTTCTAATTTTTTTTTCACTATTCTTTCTAATATAATTTAGTAATAATAATAGTCTAAAAAAAAAGATAGTTTTTTTTTTTTCCTTGTAAATAACAGATAAGAAAGTACATAACAATAATCGCTTGTATATATCTAAAAATATATAGATGAATCAGATGAACTTTATCAAAGTTGTCAATCACATTGTTAAAAAAAAAAACATTTTATGAGAAATACAAAAAAAAAAAAAAAAATGGTTTAAAAAGAGCAATAGATCAATATATTTTATCTTTTTTCTTGTATGATATTTTATTTAAGCGTGGTTATTATTACATTATTAAACACCATTATTAATTATTTGCACACATGATATATACAATGATTAAGCTTTCTTTTTATGAAATTTATGAAATTTATGAATCACAAATAAAGATTTTTTAATACGTACCAAAAAAAAAATAAATCAAATTAAGATTTTTAATTTGAATATCAATCGTTTTATAAAAGCCATTAATATTTTTCACGTGTCATGCAATTACCATTTTGATGTTTATTTTAATCAAAAGTGATTCTATTAACGTTCATATTTAAGTGTCGTGATGAAAAAAAAATTTTTATTTTTCTTAATGCTACTCATTTACAATATTTACGATGTTAAACTTTAAAATTATCATATTTATATAAAAGAGACAGAATAGTATGCTTATCTTTATTTTATTTATTAAGTTTGATTAGGAGAAAAGACGTTTAAATTTACAAATCTCCACACTAATTATTAAATATACAAATTTTTTTTGCTTATTTTTTTTTTTTGTAATTTTTTTGTCTAAAAATTTCTTATAGCTATACTAAAAAAAAAAAAAAAAAAAAAAAAAAAAAATGAACCCGTATTTTCCGTCCTTTCCTTTTTTGCCTTTTCTTTTATTATTATCAATACAAAAAAACCAACCATTATTATATATATTTTATAGGCCCACCCACCTTTGTGGCCTTTTCACATTTTTTGTCGCGTCCGATGTAACTTTTTCTAAGTCAACCACGACAGAATGATGAGTACTTACATCTATAGAAAAAATTGAAATTAATGTCACTAATATCGTATCAACTGTGCCATCCCCTTAATGCCCCTTAAATTTATTAATATAGATTAATATAGCAAACCCCCAAGAATTTGTTAATGACCGCATTCATCACCACTGCTAATTGTAGCGTCACTATCTACATCAGCTGCACTAGATGCTGTACCTGATATATGATTATTATTGTACCAAGACCACGGTTTATACCATGTTTGATTTGTTTCGTTTCTAATTGGAGATGATAGACTTGTTGAGACATTATCTTCATCATCTCCTTCATCGGATGAGGAAAATGTAGGAGAACATGAAGATGAAGAGGATCGACGAGAAAAACATCTTCGATAATCATCATCTTCGGTATCATCGTCTGTAGTGTCCATTTCATTTCCTGCATCTATTTAAAAATTTAGTTACAATCAAAAAAAATCATGCAAACAATAATATATGATATATAAAAAAACACACATACCCCAATTAAATGTACCGGTAAACATTACTTCATCTTCATCTTGATCTTCGTCTGAATTTTCTGGTGACGATGAACTTGAACCAGTATCATCCATTACTTCTTCAGCGGTTGTTGAATCTTCTGAATATATGTTTCTTAACCGAAATGAGGCAGATTTATGTCGACATAAAGTATTTGTGAATTCACTTTCTGAATCAGATTGTGAACCATAACGCGTTCGACTATGTTGACTTGATAACGTTGAGTGTTGTGTAGAATGTTGAGGTGAATTAAATATATTTTGAGAAAGGGAATTATTAAAGCTGAGCCTATTACTTGAATTATTATAAAATGTCCCATCATTTCGAACATTGGATGATGAATCCAGTGAACCTTGATTAAATTGTTCATAATTTCGGGATGTTTCATTACATATATTATCATTATGATATCTAGAAAATTCATTTATATTTGATTTAATATTACGGGAATCATCGTTTCGGTATCTTGAAGAATCAGTGGTGTCCGATATTTGTAAGTCATCCAGATAACTAACAGGACGATTTAGGTCCATTCTAGATTGATCAAATAGTCAGAATCAGTAGTAAGTTATAAAATAAAAGGAGTTGTCCTTATATATTTTATATATCTTTTTTATATCTTTTTTTATATATCTTTTATATATATATCATTTGTATATATCATACCTATTTGATGATTCTCCAACTTCATTATCTTTAATAGAATTAAGATTATTGCTACTTCGAGAGTACAAATCGTCGCGATCTCTATCAGAATAATAAGTATTATAATTAACTCTAGTAGAATTAATAGGATCTGAACGTTGACGTGATATTGATGGAGACCTTGAACGCCTTTCTCGTATATGACGTTCTTGTGATGATCTATTTCCTTGATTGTCACGTTCATTATCACGAGTTACCGATGAGTCCTCAATCCGACTATTACTTGCATGCATTACAAGGCGAGCACGTCTTCCAGAAGCTGAATTTTCACTGGAATCACTACTGAAATGTGAACGAAGTCTATCATCATTGTTTATAGAATCATTTTGGCCATAATCATCATCGGAAGAGTTTGAATCATCATCGCTATCAGTCTCTGAATTATTGTAATGTTCACCACCATTTGTAATTTCGTATACAATACGATCCGAATCCGAGAAATCGCTATTCTCATCACTAAAATAAAGAATCAACTTATTAAATTCAAGAATCAAATAAACAGTTTTTAATTTCAAAATTATTAAAAAAAAAACATACTCGTCATCCAAATAATCATCTTCAGCTCCAGTATCATCACGAAATGGATGTCCAAGGTTCAACCTACCACCAAAGATCGAATTGACAACTTGCAATACACCTTAATCAATTGAAAAGGTATCACGAAATAGGTTTTTAACTTAAGTGAAGAAATATTGTAACGAAAAATAATACCTCGTTGAAAATTAGCAAAATCTAATTCTCCTGGATGTGACATATCATTATGATCGTTTAGATTCTGTGGAGTTGGAGGACCATTTGGTGGATATTCCCAAGTTCGTGGTTGCTTTGCGTAATTTTCGACCTCTAGCCGACAATAAGGACATTTAAAATCACCTATAATCGGGAAAAAAATACAATCAATATATATATATAATATATAAATAAAAAAAGGAATATAATGTTTTACCTGAATGATTGAAATGGGAACTGAATAATTTTACAAGAATTTAATAAAGATAATAACAGCTAGTAAGCCAAAAATATAGTAAGTATAGTATATACCCCAGACAATTTAGATGGTATATATGTCCACATGACAATCGAACTTGAGCTTGCTTCGGCTCAACTTGTTCAATACATATTGCACAATCAATGGCTTCACCATCGGCATAGTGGTACATTTTTTCCGGTGGGCGCTCAAAATTTCGTTGTGTAGATGAACGATTATTACTAGAAAGAACAAAGTATAAAAGTTTAACAACAGTGTATAATTTCAACTGATTTATAGTATAAAGAAAATTACTAGTATTTATCGAGAAAGATAGAGTTGATGATCGTCATAAAACATACTTTTGTTCTGTGACATTTGAGTGACCCTCCGTTGTTCCAGGATCTTTAATTAATCTAATCATTTGTACAGTGCGATCTATCAATGGAACAAATTCTCTCCTGCCTTCTGCTTCGTATATTATCCGTTTATTATTGAGATAACCTTCAATTTCCTTTATGTAGGAATTAACTGTAGTATTCTGAACAGAATCCATGCCTTTTATCTTTCTGTAAATGTGGCATATAAAGTATTATAAAACAGATTATTGAGACGATAGAATAGTATGAATGCAAACGATAATAATGAAAAGAATGATAAAATAAAAATTCTTACACTTGTTGTAACTGATGAAATATCAGAAATTATTACCAATCTGATTAGATTTTTGATTATTTTTTTTTCACGAGATAAAAATGAGTGTTTTCTTATTTTTTTTTTAAAAAAAAAAGATTCTTTAAAAATGATTTAGTAGGTCAAAGAGTGGATAATGAAAATTTTATTAAAGGAGCCTAACTTCTCGTAACTAAATTTTGTTCAGACGGTTATGATAAAACGGTCAGCACAGGAAATTGAATACGAAGCGGCAGTTTACCGAAGAAAAAGAAAGGAATAGTTTTTTTTGTTTATTTGTATTAGTATACAAAAAAAAAAAAAAAAAATCGGCTTTGTTACGTACTATCAGGAGAAAGTACAAATGATATTACCTAATGCAGTGATCCGCACTAAATAATTACAATAATGGAATCTCTGCCCCACATGTGATGTTTCAAATGTGACTGTAACATACCTGTAACACGTCATTACAGCATTAAATAATTAAAATAAAACGTGACGTGTCTAGATTTCCAATCACATAATTTTAAATCGTTAGAAACATCGATTACATATCGATTTAAGTAAATTTATTTCTAAATTAAAAAAACTATATAAGACGTAGTTGAAGGCGTAATAAATCAATATAATATAGGATTGTAAAAGAACAATGTGTTTTGCAGAATTTTACATGAAAAATCTGCAATAGTACGACTTTTAACGTAACGGTAATTATCGAATACGCATGTAGCTACAAAAGGAAGTTAATGATATTCTCGCAGTCTCGTAAAAAAGTGATAAAATTTGACGAGAAGATTCTATGTTAATTTACTTCAATTGCTATTAATGTTAATGTTAAGCAATGCCATGTGCTAAAAGATTGTCAAAATACATAATCCAAGCTCACATTACGTAGCATACATAGATACTTTTTAACATGTACAATCAATAACCTCACATTGTTATAACATTATAGTTAAAAGGTCGTAGAAAAAAAAGTAAACCTTATTCTTCGTAGAATCGAATAAACACTTTGAAACTTTGTTATTCAGTTTTCTTACATTTTCAAATAAGGACATACGAGTATGTATAAAAATGTACACTAATTTTGGATGTGTTTCATTATTTTCTCGGTTTGGATAAAATCATTCTTAGAATTTTCATGCACAGTAATTCAAACCAATGGAAGAGTTTATAGAAGATCAATAGATTCGAAAATACAAATATGTCAAATTATGGAATATCCGAAGTTCATACATACATACGTACGCACGCATAAACACTGAAAAATTCCACCAAAATTAGTTATTTCAGAAAGTGAGGTTACACCAAAGAAAAATACGTTTTCACTTGAATTACTGAATTACTGTATTTAAACTATCAAAAAAAATAAAAGTCCATCATATGATAATCTGGTATTCATTTACTACTTTTAGTTTTATCAATAATGGTGAAATCCGATAATCAACTTATTACTTCTTTAATCAACGGGATGAATAACCGAAAGTCTGGAATGGCTATACAAAACTAAATGTAGCGATATAGATTCCAGAGAGAACTTCTAATTACACTTGTCACGTGATGAAAATACGACGTATCAGAATGTACGTACGTACGTACGTTCGTGCGTGCGTACTTAACCTATTTCTTTTCTTTTCTTTGTAATCGGAGCAAATCCGATTCTTTACAAGATTGGTCCTCGAATTTTTTAAATACCGTAATTTGACGTTAAATGATTTCATGATACATAATTGTGTAATTTTCAAACCTTAATTCTTAATATGAATGATTTTCCTCAAGGAGCATCCTTGGTCACCATTCGTGCATCCATATCTCCAATAATGACATCCTCGCTTATATTTTCGAATACTTTGCAGTTTTGAAAGTTTTTAATAAGAAAAGGCAAATCTGTAAATCTTGAATATCCGATATTATGGAGAACTGACATTTGAGAAAGTCTTACAAATGGATTTAATTATATAGCGCTTATCCAGCCCGCTTACCACAGATTCCTTCGATTTATTTAACCAAACATTTGACCGATATTACTTGGATCCTTCCTTATACTCTTGTTCCTGTCTTTTTTTATGGTCGTGGCCATAGTTGTTTGACAAACCTTGAAGGTTTCGCGCTGACTAAGCGCGGAACCTAGTTTCGTCCTTCGTCAATTAAAAACTGATGAATAATTCTGGCGTTTGTAGCTGACTTAAATTTGTCGACCCGGCTAAGCCAAAATTTGAAAATTGCTTACGTAGCCGGTTGATTGCCTGTAGTATGTAAAATAATTTATATCTCGAATTTCCTACTTTCCATTCTTGTAAAGTTGTTTTATTCGACTGAGTCGATTTATTGGCTAATGCAAACACTAGTCGTTTCAATCATACTATTTTTAGTATCGCGACGATGGGTGTCATTAATCAAAGCGTATGTTGAGAGATTATACATTTGGATTTTAAAATAATACAAATTGAAGGTCAATTTTTGTTTGTTCTTTAGCTTGGAACTTTAATTTTACCAGGGTTTCAACAAGCTTACCTTACCGATTTCAAATTTCATCTTTCATCATAGGATGTTTTGGGCTCCGTCTTCGTCATCGCGCTTAAAATTTTTTTTTTTTTTTACAAAATCGGGTGCTTTTTTGTTTTCAAAAGTAAATACCTGAGATCCATACGCGTTTTCCAATCTGTAATTTTTCACTTGCGGTCAAGAACCAATGCGTTTGTTGATCTCGCCATAGTATTGAATTCTCTTAATGCTTCTAGCAATAAAAGCCATAAGAGCAACGAGATCAACAAAATTTATGTTTATTATGGTCATAATTCGAAAATTTATTATTTTACAAAAAAGTTTTATTTTGAATACATATAATTTCTCCTTTGAGAACGAGCTTTAACCTTAATTGGAAACACACTATTCCAAGGGCGCTCTCAAGCGATGCAATTTTCTAGTGCACAAATATTATGACGTAATTTTAGTTATTCTTAAATAGTCGAATGATTGCTCAAGTATCACCCTTACTATAATTTGCTATAGTGATACGTACAGTACGTACGGTAGATCATCTATCAGTGCTTAACGTTAAGTAGATTTTATATTAAACTCAGCTCGGCTGTTACTGTTACCGTTGCTTTTTATCTATTTTACGATTTGTAGTATAATATATCGCTGAAAAGAATTATTTTTTAAAAAAAAAAAAAAACTTAATAGAAAATACGTTAGTGATGATAACGAATAAAAGCATAAACGATAACTCTGTTTGCTTAATAAAGTTTTGACAATCCAATGCAAAAAAAAGATGGTTAGTTTGTTGACCGAAATGATGATCATTATTTACAGCTGTTTTTATAAATTTTTGGGGCGCTAAAAATTGGAGATGACCGAGTTTATAAATTTTTAATGTCGACCAACGTCGATAATTTATTGATTTAGATTCAATAACTTATCGATTCGGTCATCGAAAATCTATTCAGCTGTCCCAGAATTTATGAAAACAGCTATAATAATTTTTTTTTGGTTATAAACTATGTGTCCCGTAATCGGTTTCTTGTAACGGTAATTAAAATTTAATTCCAACACATTTTCGGTATATTTGACCCATTAATTAAGGCGTTTGAGAACGCCCCAAATGCGATTGCAAAGAAGGCAAATATTTTCTTCAATGTAACTCAAGTTTCGAAAGCCATCTTTCCCGAAAGGGTATAATACCGATAAAGTAAGCTAGCATTAGTTATGTCAGCCGGTTTGGTCGGTATTATGTTCTTTCGAGAAAATGGATTTCGGAAAATCGTAACCTAAATTAATTTATGTTTATATAATTATTGATATTTTTACATTATCATTATTGTACGCATATATTTGTTTCATACATTCGGTTTTGTTAAATAATTCGGATTTATTGTTATGCATATATTCGTGCAGATTTATTTGTCTAAAAGTGCTTTTCATAAGTTTAAATCAAAACAATAAAGTATGAATGGCAGTGATAATGTTCTTGCAATAAAATCGATTTATTTTTTTGAAAACCAAGAATGGTTAATAAATGCTATATCGAATATATACTAAAAAAGTTTCGAAGAATATTTTTTAATAATGTAAAACAAATCTTTGAGTACCATCAAGTCTTGTAACTACTGTATACCCAAAAAGACCTTTTAATATAATTTTTACTTTGTTACTAAAATTTTAAGTATTTTTATATTAGGCCATACAAATTTGATTACTTGGTTTTCATAACATGAAACTTTTAAATAGACCCGGCCGGCCGGCTTT